TACCTCCCTATTCTTGACACTCTGGGGCCCTACGCAGAGATGCAGCATCCTCCCGTGTGTTGGTAGAGTTTTGATGCAAGCATTATTTTGCAAGTCTACACCTCCAGTAGACTGTAGAACTTTAAAAAATATATTCATTCATTTATACCTTCTACAACTATTCCTGGGCATCCACTGTGCCGCGGGCATTGCTTCCTGGCTGCCACCCACACGCGGGGGAGAGACACAGACAGGGAACATCAGCCAAGCTGCCAGGGACCACCCCAGGACTCCTGATACATTGCCAGGGCCTCCCTGCACCAAACCATCCTCCAAGTGGCATTGGTATGAGCAAAGCTGAATCTCACAAAGCAAGACGATCGCGAACAGAACAAAGTCCCTGCTGTTACCAGGCTAGCGATGAGAGACGGGCAGTATGTATGTAACAAATACACAGACACCCAGTAGACTGTAAACCTTTTATAGGCAGGGGGACATTGGCGGGATAAAGGAATGAATGCATTGTGTGTCGACTGGTACGCACGGCATGAATGAATGAATGGGAGGCACCTGACCACGCGGCCGTTTTTGAACCTGGCCCAGAAAGACTTTTGCAGCTTTATGAGAGCGTTCACTTCATTGTTACAAAGGGTTGGTGACCCATACGTGTGAAATCTCTACCAACAGAGCTGGAGCAATTTGGGAGGCTGCTTTCTCTCACTCTGTTGCTTGCAAAGTCTTTGAAGACAAGACGTCATGCCCTTTCTGGGCCGTCTTTTGCAAACCTCCTCAGCAGGTTTACCTTTCTCCTGCAAGTGTCTTTGAGACCGTCCTATCCTCCTACCTAGCTTACTGTGCATAGGCTGCCCACGATGATTTGTTCTGATATGGAGCTCTCAGTAACCATGATTACTGCTGATGTCCACCAATAGGCATGCATTTGTATGTACTTTTTAAAAAGTACACCGATGTATGTCCTAAATATACCCAGAGTCGATGTTAGATTTTTTTGTTGTTCTTGTTGTTTGGCAAATGCATGAAGCTCTTGGCTTATGTGTACTGTGCCTGAAAGTCAGATGTTCTCCCAATTTTTTAAAGAAGTAGTGTCCTCGTTTATGACAAGATTTAGAAAGTAGTAGAAAATAGGATCCCCCTGCTTCCTATGACAAACTGTGGGCACACACTGTGGGGCGAAGCGATTTCCCGCTATGGCTGAGCTCACCCCTCAGGATGTCGACTTGCATCATCTCAACCAGTTGCAGCCACACCAAAGTCTGTCTGCTGACGTTTCCCTAAAATACCAAGCCCCAGAGGTGTTACAAGGGAAGGCAGCTTAAAACCGTGATAGAACGGCCAGCAAGCTAACTGATTTGTGGTTTTGAGAAAGCAGCGCTTTGCCTGATTTTAAATACCGTTGACTATGATTTGCTTTCATTTTCATGGTTCTGGACTCCTTTCCAAGAACTTAAAGTTCACAGGTTACAGTCGTTGAGATGAGAGGAATCATCATCTTAGAAGGCTTTCTCTAGACTTAGGGGAAAATGAGCTTCCTCCAGCATTTTGTTCTACTTAAGGCTTTGTTGTTATTATTACTGTGGCTCTCATCACTGTCAACAACAGCAATAACATCATCATTGATATTAGATTACCTCTGAGGAGACATTATGAGGTCCCGGCCCAAGAGATATTTGGGGTCTACAGGATTTGAAATTGTTATTCTAAGGCTGCAGAATATCAGTTAGAATCTTTTAAAAACATTTACAGATCATAGCATGGCTATTAATCTTTCAAACTTTTCTCTTGTCGAAGGGTTTTTGAGTTGATCTGTGTTATGGGTTGAATTGTGTTGCCCCCGTCCCCAAAAAGAGGGTATGTTGAGGTCCTAATCCTGGAACCTATGAATGTCAGCTTACTTGGAGATAGGGTTTTTAATAGATGTAATCAAGGTAAGATGAGGTCAGACTGTATTCGGAAGGACACTAAATCCATTATGGGTGGTGTCCTTACAAGAGGAGACACAGGGACAAAGACAGACAGAGACACATAGAACATGATATGAAGATGGAGGCAAAGAAGTGAGGGATGGATCTCCCAGCCAGGGAACTCCAACGATCTCTGAAAACCACCAGAAACTAAGAACTGAGAGAGACAGACATCGTGATCCCCCAGACTCTAGGCAAGTAACCCACCCTGCTGACTCCATAATTTCAGACATCAAGAAGAATTTATTGTCCCACTGTGTTGCAGGACGACTCTATAATTTCATACATCTGTCCTGCAATACAGTGGGACAATAAATTCTTGTTGTTTAAAGCCACCTGGATTTAGGGCTGAATCATTGCTATTAGTAACCTCTCATTTTTGGTTTATCATTGGCTTTCTTTTGTCTCTCTGTGATGGCTGTTTCCATATGGGGCAAAAAAAAAAAAATGGTCACCAGCATTTCCCTGTGATATCACCCTTGAGCTCTGAGAAGCACATTGGCCTGGGGATGATGCCACTGGCCCAGTTGGGGTCACAGGCCAACTCAAACCAATTTCCAAATCTAGGGGGGGAAACACCCTTTGATCGGCATGGCCTGGGTTAGCATTCATTTCTGAACGGGGAGAGGGATGTGTGAGTCCAACAGGACCCAGCTTAGGGTTGATGTAGGCAAGGTAGCTCCCCAAAGGAAAACAGGATGCTAAGCAGGCAAAACCCATTGATGTCCATTACCCTCCCTCCTATTTGGGATAGAAAGTAGACAAGAAAGACTGGTATGGCTTCAGGGGCGGAAAAGCCCTACCTAGGGTAGTTCTTCCTTTTTAGCCCCAGAGAAGACCCTGAGGATTTGAAAATGGGAGACCTTGTTTATGAGTTGTTGCTGTTGTTGTCTTGTAGGCACTGGGGACCCTTGCGTGATGTAGAGCGATAAAGTGACAGGAATGTCTCGCACATCAGGAAATTGATATTCAGACAACGCTGAGGCAGGACCACATTGGTTACTGCACTCCAGAGGGACATCTGGATCTGGAAGTTGTCCTCTGGTGGTAAAGCTGGGGTAGCATGACCGATAACTCCAGGTAGAAAACGTGCCCTGAAGGGGGCCAAGCTGTTTAGGACAGGGTGTAACCTACTGTGTCTACTATTTCTTTTAACTGTTCCAGCTAATGGGCTAGGTTTACTGAAGGAGTATCCAATTTAGAGAGTTGATCTAGGGGAAATGAAATTGAATTTGAACGAAATCTCAGCCCAAGCTCTTAGCAAGGGGAAGGGCTTGGTAAGAGCTGCCTTGTAGGGCACTGGGCAAATGGTTGACAAGGTGGCGTCTATGGAATCCTGCAAGAAGCACAGGACATCCCACTCAGCATCTTCCTTTGCTCATTGGGCTTCTCTGAGAGTTTGAGGTGGGTGGGTTCTCGGGATGGCGATAAAACCTAGTCTTCAATTCTTGTGCAGCTCTGTCAATCCAAGTAGGTGCCACCTAGACCCTCACTTCATTGCATTTCTTTGGCTTGTTTGTTAACATTTCCTTCTGTATGAGCCCCTGACATTAGCAAAAGCGCAGTTTATAAATGTATTCATTCAGAGCATCCTTACAGAGCATGTTCTAATTGACCACTTTCCTGAATGTGGTACCATCTTTTCCCTTGCAGATCATATGGGGGGAGGGGAGGATACAGAATGAGCCAGAATTACCATTTCGTATGATCAGTGCTATGATGTGACCAGTTGGAGAGATATGGGAACATCTGGGAGGAGCATGTTTCTAGACTCAGAGGTCAGAATACGCTAAGGAGAACTTCGAAGGACAGCAGATGGCCAAATTGGTGGGTTAGGGGGACTTCAGGTGGAGGGGACAGTGTGGTCAAAGATGGCGCCTGGAGGCTGATGTTAATGTTGATTCTCTTGGCTGCGCATGGTTTAAGAGACTGAGTAAGTGAATTTGAAGTTTTGGCTCGGCCAAACATCCCAAGTACAGTCACTGTTGCGGTCAGTTTATTGCATGGCGGCATGATCCCGTCATCAGCTGAGCTACAGGGACTATTGGTCGATGTGATCTTATGAAAATTGAGAAACCCAACAAGGATGAGTGTTCAGGGAAAGGAGGGCCTCACTTCCTTTCAGAGATGTGAAACAAGAGGGGACAATATGACTCATAGGCGGAATCCATCATGCTGCTGCCTATTTTTGCAAAAAAGTTTAATGGGACACAACCTTCCACATAAATGTGCCTAATTTCTGTGGCTGCTTTCACAGTACAATGGCAGAATCAAACAGCTTCAAAAGAGGGCATATGGTCTGCAAAGTCTAAAATATTTATAGAGAAAGTTTGCTGACCCTTGATGTAAAGGGAAGTCTTCATGAAGTCATTCGGGTATCTTCTAGTTAATGCATAGGATGGCAGGGTCCAGAGTTGCCATAGCACAGTTGTTCTCAAACTAACCAGGAACTTTTTCATAGGCAGACTCCCAGGCTCCACCCAGGCTGCTACCGACTCGTCATTTCTGGGGATGGGCCCCAAGAATTTGAATTTTAATGACTGTGAAGGTGATACTGACAAAGATTTTGTCATATAATAGTCATAACAGATATGTTTGTATATCAATTAGAGTCATATTTATAGGGCTCTTTACATGATGGCTAATGATAGGATTAATGATATGGAAAATAGTCATAAATAGGGCCTCAGAAAATTGGACCTAAAACATTGTTAAACCAAATATAAACAAATACTCCTTTCTGCCATTAGAAAAAAATAGGAAGAAAAAAATAATGACACCCATTAAAGAAACCATGGTCCATATAGCCTAGACCAAGGTAAATTTCTGGAGTGACCTCTAAGAGCAACTAGATGCACAGTGTATCTGTAGGCAGTTAAGAGACACACAACAAGGGATTGTTAGCTATAGATCCTTAAAATCAAATTTTAAGGAAAGCACTGATAGAATAGTGGCCCAAGGACACAACCAACCCATAAATAAATAAATATAGACAGTAATAGTAGAAGTAATAATAGTAGATGACGATTTTGATAATAGTGGTGAAAGAGATGATGGAAATGAAGGTAATCATGGCCGTGATTATGATGATGGAGGTGATAATGACCATCCTGGTGATGATGATGATGATTTTGATGTTAGTGGTGATGGTGATAGCCATGAAGATGGTGATTGATGATGGTGATGGTGTTGATGGTGTTGATGATGGTCTTGAAGATGGTGATGGTGATGGTGATTTTGATGTTAGTGGTGATGGTGATAGCCATGAAGATGGGGATGATGATGGTGATGGAGTTGATGATGGTGTTGAAGATGGTGCTGAGGACAGTGGTGATGGGGGTGATGATGATGGTGATGTGATCATGGTGGGGGTGCTGATGCTGATGACAATAATGATAGTGATGGTGGGGGTGGTGAGGGCAAAGAAGATGACATTAGTTGCTACTCAGAGAATGAGTTTTTTACAGCAAGCACTTTGCACTAAAGCTTGAGCATTTTCTATCAGTGAGTGCACCTAATAGCCCTCCAAAGTGCTAAGTCACAAAGGGGAAACATAAAGCTAGGAGTAGTGGTTCATCCTTTACCTAAATCACCCAGTGTGTAAAAGGGAAAAGCAGAATTCAGATCTAAGTCTTTCTGAGAGTTTCCCAGGTAATTTTCTTGAGAGTTATTAATGCAATTTAATAAAAGCAAACACCATTTTACTGATAATATTAGCAAAGCCATAATAAAATAATATTCAGTGCTAAAGAGAATGTGCATGCATGACTTCTTTTGGTAGGCGTTTTTGTGAAGTGCTACATAGGTTTTTCAAAAAACAGTGTAACAGTATGTGTGAAAAAACATTTTAAATGCCCATAACTTTTGAACCAGTAATTCTATCTCAATAAATCCACCTAATGAAATAGTTATTTTAAATGCTTTTAGAGATTAATGCCTAAAAACCTGTGTTTTGTTATGGTTTATGATAGGAAAATAAAAGATAAATAAAAAGAGATGAGGGGCGCCTGGGTGGCTCAGTTGGTTAAGCGACTGCCTTCGGCTCAGGTCATGATCCTGGAGTCCCGGGATCGAGTCCCGCATCGGGCTCCCTGCTCGGCGGGGAGTCTGCTTCTCCCTCTGGCCCTCCCGACCCTCCCCCCTCTCATGCTCTCTCTCTCTCAGTCTCTCTCTCAAATAAATAAATAAATAAAATCTTCAAAAAATAAAAAAAATAAAAAGAGATGAGATGTAAGTTATGACATATTCCTGGAATGAAGTACTGATCAGCGTGCTTTCATTTTTAGCTCTCTGTTGAGAGTCTACCTCCTTCATTGGTAGCTGGTTGGCCCGCAACACGTCATGAACCAATTCTAGACCTATCCTCTCATTTTCACATGACCCCTGTGACCCCTACAAACACACGTAGTCCATTGGCTCACTCGGCGATACTGTCTTTAGGTTCTAGATCATTGGCTTCTTAAATAGTATAGGGGAGTAGTTGACATGCAAGCGAACCCGGGGCTAATTGTACATGAACACAGAGTTGTACATGAACACAATGCACAGGGGCTGGTGCATTGAACACAGGGTTGCAAGGTATGTGGGGTCTTAACAGGACAATATCTCAACCTGGAATATGAGCAGGACCTCACTCAACTCTTTCCGGAACAAAGTCTTGTCAGTCTTCTCTATAAGAATTCTTAATCTAACTTTATAGCAGATTGATGAACAGCAATGACAAAAAAATGAAATGTGCAGGGTATATATTTAGGACTCGTATTTTTTAACAAGTCAGTGTTCCTCACGGATAAATACATACTTCCCCCCAAATTTTAGTGACCAGCCAAGTGTGTATGGTATCTGTCGTTCAGTCACCCCTGGGATCAATTCCTGCAGAAGCAGATTGGAACCAAATTGCAGTCGCTCTCCCAACGGGACGGGGAAAGGGGAGAGAGTCCAACATTTCTTGACCACTTGCTAAAGTGCCAGGCTCTGTACTAGGCAGTTTGCATGTATTACCTCATTTATCCTGTTTGGGAATTATCTTGTTGACAGCAGGAGTCCCATGAAGGAATATTTTTAGGAAGTGAAATGACAGGCTCTGATTTGCATTTGGAGATTAATTACTCAGGCTGCCAGTTATCCGTTAACTTGCCCAGCTTGGCCTAAGCCAGCATCGAGAGGGTGTAATTGGATTTATTCTGCAGAGAGGTGATTTGCCCCTACATTATCTTGGCCTGCTGCCTAAATTTCTGACCACTAGAGACTTATTTGCTTAGGTTAGGCATCTCATTTCTGAAACCCATCAAAGAAGTGAGCATGGATTAGATTATCGACTAACTTGACCAGTGGGTTCGTTTATGAGATGATGAGTTTGCCAAGCTAGTTTATTAAGAAAGGGGGCATCTTTTAGGGTAAAGTAACACTTACAGGGAAAATGGAAGACCTTTATCTCAATGACTTTCTATTTTTTTTTTTTTTTTTTAAGATTTCATCTATCTATTTGACAGAGAGTGAAAGAGAGGGATCATGAGCAGAGGGGAACGGTAGAGGGAGAAGCAGACTTCCCGCTGAGCAGGGAGCCCGACGTGGGTCTCCATCCCAGGACCCTGGGATCATGACCAGAGCCGAAGGCAGATGATTAACTGACAGAGCCCCCCAGGTGCCCCAGTGACTTTCCATTTTTAATCTTTGTATGAATAAGTCTGTTGGTAAATACACTGAGTGGTTGGTTCTGCTTCCTAATTTAGGCTGTAAAAAATTTTTATCAGCATTGAGCGAACTCTAGCAAGACCATAGGGGAGTATCCATAGGTGCACTTAAAAAAAAAAATCAATCTTTCATCCTTTGTAGAAAAAGTAAGCTGTTGAGTATTGTATGAAATAGAAAGCCGAGTTTAGCTATTTCCATTAGGAAGTGACAGATAATTCCTGTGAGCTTTTTCCTCTATGCCATCATTATAGCTACTCGATGATATAAAAAAGAAATATTTGGCCCTTTTATATACAATTGGTACAAAAAGGTCCACATACAGGAATAGTCTAAAGAATGCACTACAAAAAGAAATGTCCAGCGCTATTAATGAAATGAATCCGTGGTCATTAACATGGGATTTGTGATACATTTTATATGTTCTTGATTAGATTCAAGAACTGAAGTATAAGGCCTCATTGATGAAAATGGGCTGTAATTTTATGCTTTTAATATAATGGCCTCTGGCCAAATCTGGACAAAAGAAGAGCATTTGATTTGTTGCTTTAGATTTGTTTCTCCCATCCTCCTTGAAAATAGAAATGATTTACAGTTTTAATATATTTTTCATGTACAATTAGCATCATTGTTGCCAGATTTACAGAGGAGAAAGGAGAACAGAGCTGTAGTGATTTATTAGGGGCACGTGGAACGGAATTAATGCTACCACCAGCAGCAGAGTTTAATGGGAAAAAGTGAAAACACAAAAATCTTAAAAATTAAAAGAACCCTTGGTGTTAAAAGCGTGTTTGCTTTAGGTAAGCTCTTGGTCTTACAGGATGCTTTTTTTTTTTTTTTTTTAACAGCAACAACAAAAAATGATATTTACATTGGGGACTTCTTTCCATTTCAGGTTTCACATGGAATTTCAATATGGTAAAATACGTAATGTTGTTATACGAGGAACCCAGGGAAAATCCAGTTAAGATCAACATTTTTAGAAAGAAATGGGGCATGGGGGATATTTTAAAGATTCAGTATCTTCTTTCCCAATTGGCATAGAATTGAAAACCATGTCTTCGAGAGCAAATAGAGTTTTTTTTAAAAAAACATTCCCATATTAAAAAAAAAAATTGTCAGGCTTGTATGTTTGTTCATGATGTTGCTTTGTGTATTTGTTTTCTTCGGAAGACTCTTTCATTGGATTTTGGAAGATGAACACATATTTGCCCAGAGGTGCTCATCACAGACTTAATATTTTCTTCACTGACCACCTGTCCTTGTTTGAGACTGGGGAAGTAGGCAGAGCTTCCTTGGAGTTAGAAACTCTTAACACCTGCTATTCGGGCATTGTCTTTTAAAAGAAAGAGAGCCATGTTGCAGAAAAGGAGGATAAACCAAAGACGTTGCTGCAAAGCATTCAGGTATCTGTGAATTTAATGTTTCGGAGGAAAGACTAATGAGGGGTGGCTCTTTGTCTATTTAGCCAGTAAATGTGTGCAGACAGAATCAAGCATCAGTGAATAGGCTCAACCAAGCTTGCTTCCAAAATGCTTTCTCTGCCTCCGGACCTTGAAGGTAACTCCTGGGTGCATTGTGGATTATCCATCCCCTGCATTGGTCTTCATCCTTTCCTGTTTCGATAAATGGTATGCTCACCTTTTAAATCTATCAGTAGTAGTATTCTATGGACAGGGAAAGGGTGGTGTTAGTCTCCGTGAATCTTCCAAGCTGCTGACAACGGAGACCATAGTTATCTGTGAAAACATACATGAATCTTGGCATAAACATTAGACCAGCACTTTCTTTTCCACTTTGGAAGGATCACTTCAGTTTTCTCTGTAGCTGTTGTACTTTTCAGAATCGTTCCCTCTAACATCTCCTAAAACCACAGTTAGTAAGCGCCTCATTGGCAGTGGATTTTAGCTGTGGGAAATGCCCGCTCATGCAAGGCTGGAGTATTTGCAAACGGTCCTAGTTTTTTGGGGAGACAACATGACAGTAGGTTGCAAAATGCCTTGAAATACATTGCACTGCAAGGAATCGTATCCTCAAGAAGTAATTGGACAGGTGCAGAAGGATGAATGTATAGGGATTTTCATTGTCAAGGGTTTATGATAGCCAAATAAATAAATACATACATACGTACACAACGGAAAGGCTACAACAATTTTTAACAGTCTAGAAATTGTTATATAATTAGAGGTAAAATACAAGCGTGGAATACTAGCCATTAAAATTGCATTACAGGATAGTATTTAGTGATATGGGGAAATACTCAGAGTGCGGTAAGTATGTTAAAAACATCTTAATCATATTATCTTCTGTTGGTCTTGCAACTTTTAAGTTCTCTTGTACAAATTACTCTGGAGCTTCTCAGTTTTATTTCATATAATGACAAGAATGGAAGATGATGACAGGTTGGCATGTTGTGTGCTGAGAATCTTTACAGTGGTGTGAACAGAAATGCTGGGGGAGGGAGGAGGAACCTGCCAGGCAGCTCTGTATCCTTTTATACCAGTCCTTAGGACCCCACGTCCTGGTTCTGTTTTAACCCTACACCTAAGACTGTGAGAGTGCTCTGCTTTAAGTAGTCCACCAGTGTTTGTGTTCACATTGCAAATCTCTTCTCTGTGTCCTCTCCACGATCGTCATTTCCGATATTCTTGAAACAGAAATCAATAGTATTGATTTAGCAAAGATTCCTCAATGTTTTTTTTTTTTTTCTCTCCCTTATGTCTTTTTCTAAGTAGGACACATTTAAGAAATCCTGACCTCTGCCCCAGCATCGCAAAAATGTCCTCCTACATATTTCTCT